ATAACAATAGTTTTGCAAAATTATTAATCATTCGATATGATTTGCAATTTTCATTTTTGTGCACAAACATAAATGCAAAAGAAGCCGAGCTAAAAGAATGTCCAATATTTTGTTAAAATAATGACCTTTCATATCTGTTGTTGCCGTTGTTGCTATAATTTTGATATTTTAATACTGAATAAACATTAAAATTTGATGAACAAATTTCTCTTACAAGCATGATAATAATAATAATAATAATAATAATAATAATATTATTATTATTATTATTATTATTATTATTATTTTCATTATTATTATTATTATTATTATTATTATTATTATTATATCAATGATATTATAATAACAGTAATACCAATAACTAATACCATTATTATTATTATTATTATTATTATTATTATTATTATATATTAATAATATTAATAACAACAAAGCTAACAAGCGATGTACACCGATAACTGAGGAAGATAAAAACATACAAAATGTTGGTAGATGATGAAAGAATAATAGTACTTTAGTTTCTTTTCTTTTTTTTTAAATAATGAAAAATAAATGAGGTAAACAGCAAAAATTAATGTTTGTTCAGTCGCTTTTCGTCTACAAATTGTTTTCATTGAGAATTCTTCCGCTGCTAATGTTAAAAGTTTATAGCAGAAAACGTCTAATCAAATTTATAAAATAAACTCCATTTATCAAAGATGAGAAGCAGTGGCAAAACTGACGCACATTTTACATTCATAAATATTGTTGCTGATGGTAAATCTTCAAAAATTTTATGAATCTCTTCACAGAAAACTGTCAACCTCAAAGAGTCATCGAATTGTCAAAAGGCCATTTTTTGTATTCTCTTAACGTTTCTGAATGTATAGCGAATATCTACAACATGTAACAAATTGCCTGCTAAAATGATTGATAATTTTTTATAAAGTTAAGTTAGTGACGTCATATTTAAAAGGATTACTGATTAAAACTGGGTAATCAAAGGCAAGAAGATAGTTATTTTTCTGCAAAACACTGTTTGCCTATTACACATATAATGGATGGTAAAGGTCAATTGTCAACAGCATTTTGAAGATTTACTTCGTACGATTTACTCAACGACTTTTCAAGTCTCTTTTTATCTGCCAGTTTTTTGCCATTGAAAATCGTTTAATATGTGGCAGTCAGTTCAAAAATATTAAGAACTTGAGAAAAGCAGAACTGTTGCTGTTAATAACTGCTTGGACCCTAATAAAAGTATAAGTTATCATTTTAATGGCTTCGCGTAAGTGTTAATTAAATTGTTTACGACTGTTACGGAAGCTGTGATAGTGTTTGTTTTAAAAAATGACGATGATTTCAAGATGAAGTGCTATGCGATAGTCTTTTTAAGGGAAATATAAAAAAATAAAAAATAAATAAAATAAGCCGATTAGGCAGCCTATTGAATTGGGTGGGAGTAACGTATTTAAACATTTGCTTAGGAAAACAAGCTACAAGGTTCTTTCTTTAACCAAAACCACTGAAGACTATGGCCAAAATGAGTCTTCCCAACTAGGGTCATTTCAGTCTACTGGGTAGCTGTTGGTATCCTGATTACTAAAAAGACCAGTAGCAAATAACTTTTGAACTTCAACAGTTTTAAAAGTGGATTGATGATAAGGAAATATTCTTATTGCTGTGGAGTTATTAAAGCGGATTCAAAACAATTCTTTTACGTGGCACTAATGATGAATCTTGACAATAAATTTGTCTTATTTTGAGCTTCTAGCTTTATCTGCTTAAAAGCCATGTGTTTTTTGCTGGATGGCTTTTGTAGATATACAGTTTTCTAGTTGACTATATGTCATTTCTTTTGTACACCAATTAGTTAAAAAGATGTATAAGGAGGAAAAAAAAATTTCCTTTGTTTTGAACTTTTATATTAATGAATCATTATGGAAATATTTACAAGTAGATTCTTCCTTAGAGTAACTTAGAATAAGGTTTTTATAGGTGTTTGTTAGGTAACAGTCACATAGTAAATAAGATTCTTGAAATGACCAATATCACAAATTGTCGCTGCTTATTGATGCACCTTTTTCCTGCAATGATCGTTTCTTTCAGTCGAATTTTTAGTTGATAAATAGAGAATATTGGAAAATCTTTATTTAAATGAATATTTTTTTTGTTGTTAAATACATTTCAGAAAAAACTTCGTGATTAGACTTCTAAAAAACATCAATTTTTTT